CTCTGTGCTGGTGGGCTTGGGAATCCTCACTCCTTCTCTCTGTCCGTCCCCACTCATGCTCTCTCTCAAAATAAATAAAATTAAAAAAAAAAAACATAGAGCCTCCCTCTTCCTTTTTAATTTAAATTGATAGGAGGACCTCTGGTCCTGTGGGAAATGACACTCCCTATTCATGTCTACTTTGGCAAGTAATTGGAGGAGGAAGAGCTCTTCTGGAAACATAGAGACCTATCATATTCAGAAGCAAATTACTTTCAAATTTGTAACATTCTCACCTCCATTTGTCAACCACATGGTTAAGAAACATGGATATCTACTTCCAGCAATATACTGGACTGCACACCTTGAAGGGGTCTCTTATTTCTAACCAAAAATGACTTTTTGTATTAAACTCATTTTTACTTCATTGCTGAGATTGAAGGCAATAAGCAAAATGTCTGCAAGAAACTCCCTAACCTCAAACACAAACACACACACACACACACACACACACACACACACAGTAAAAACCCTGAGCTGAATTCAAAGTTTTAAGAAAAATCACTGCTATTTAAAAACAAAAGCCTTCATTCTAGCCATAACTAACTTTGTTCCCAAGATACATGAACCACACTTTTAAAAAGTCATGTCACTAAGAGATGTATTTTCTTTTTTTTTTTTAAGTTTTTATTTACATTCCAGTTAGTTAACACACAGTGTAATTAAATTTTCAGGTGTACAAGAGTGATTCAACACTTTCATATCATACCCAGTGTTCATCACAAGTTCACTCTTTAATCACCATCACCTATATAACCCATTCCCCCAGCCACTTCCCATCTAGTAACTATAGGTTTGTTCTAAGAAATGCCTTTTTAATAAAGCTTTACCTTTATGTTAAAAAAAAAAAAAAGTCTTCTTGCTTGTATTCATCAGTGTGGGAGCTGTATCTGGGGCTCCTTTATCAAGCAACTTCTCCCCTGAAAGAGCTGAAATGGTCCCAAATTTTATTGCCTTCTGGCTGAAGTGAACACAAATAATCCTTAAAGGAAAGCATCCTTAATCTGGGTCCCCAGATTTCCAAAGATTAAAACTAATCAAATATAAACTATCAAAGATAAGCATGGCACAAGAAACTAAACTAATAACATGAATCAACAGAAACAATACACGGCAGAATGTCAAATATATGAAAAAAATGAACAAGCAAGAGAGAATATCAATCGACAAGAAAGATTTGAGTAGAGGAGGAGCAGAGCTTCTATAAATGAAAAATTAAATGAGGTAAAAAAAATGCAAGGGTTAAACTACAGATTTTGCAGAAGTACAGAGAATTACTAAACTGGAAAAGAGATCTCAATAAAGCACCCAGAATATAGCCAGAATGACAAGGAGATATAAAGTATGAAATAGAGACTAAGAAGTAGGGATGAGAGAATGCTAAATTCTAAAACATTTCTATTTAGGATTCCAAAAAGATGAGAAGAGAGACAATGAAGGAAAATGTTATTTGCTAAGATACTAGCTGATAATTTTCCAAAATGATACATGACAATTCACAGAGGAAATACACTGCAGTTGTTTGAACCATATGGAATCATAGGCCAAAATGGTTTAATATTGTTAATTATATATGGTTCAACCTATACCAAGCTATATAAATACAAAGAAACTAACATCGAAATTCACTGTAGTGAAAATGCAGAACACCAAAAGCAGACACTCTTAAAAACAACTTAAGCGAAAAGAAGTATCATTTATAAAGAAATGACAATTAGGCTGACATCACTTTTCAACAGCAAAAAGGAATCCAAATGACAATGGAATAGAATTTAAAAGTACTGAGAAAAAAGAAATGCCAACCTAGAAATGTTTACCTCACAAATCTTCACTCAAGACAAAAAGGCAAAAAAAATACTTATGTTCATATACACACAAACTAGGCATTTACTGCCAACAGATGTAAACTAGAGGAACTTTTGGTACTTCAGAAGGAAGGAATAGACTCCTATTAACAAGACTCATCCTGCTTGGTAAAAAACTGAGGTTGCCACACAGGATGAAAAATATGTAATAATCTGCTATTTATAGTCCCAAATATAGACTTAGGTTGAAAAACAGAGATGAAGAAAGACATAACAGGCAAATAGTAATAAACTGGAGTAACTATTTGAATATCAGGCAAAGTAGACTTTAAGTTAAAAAATGCATTACTATGGGTACAGAAAGCCAGAAAATCATGTAAAATATTAAATTCATCAGGAAGGCTCTCCCCGGTATCTCACCGCTGCATCAGTGCAGTTAGGCATCAGCAAATTAATGAGAGGAGAGAGGAGGCCCCTGCTCTTGGGCACCCGCAGGAACTTACTCCAGCTCCAGACACACCGTAAACACTTTCATCTAACGGAAGATAAGCTGTGAAATTGGATTTCT